GGGAAAGAGAACTCTCTCCTAGCTTGGCATGTCTTATGTACAGCATGGACTTTGGCTCTTCTATTGTATATTAGCTATATTTACATACTGTAGAGTTTTATCTGTAGTAAATAAACTTGTATTAAAACCTTTGCTGACTGTATCTATGTCCTGATAGGACAGTAGGAGTCCCCTGCTTTGCCCAGTGCAATGTCATCTTTGTGAACAAAGATCTAGGAACAAATAATTCAGCCTTCCATTAGTCCTAAAACTAATCTCTGTACCCTGCCTGTAATGTGCCACTACAGAGCTGTGCTGACAAGGGTCCAACCTTGAACCCACGTACTATAGACTGGGCTGGGAAGCTGCAGCTCTGTGCAGGAGACTGATGTATCTAGTGTCACTTCTGCAGTTCTGCTGTACCTACACTGGCCTGAAACTAAATGTGTGCAAAGGACTGTAGCAAAGGTCTGGCATGAGGGTGATATCCAAAATAGAATGCAATAGTATTGTGCATTAATATCTTGACCTTTTGTTGATAAGTCACTCTACCTTCTTGACCTTCAGCTCTCCCTAGCAGAGTCTTGGGACCCTAGGATTTTGCTATGAGCCAACAAGTGCTATAGGGGCTGAATGTAATGGCTGTGTCCTGTACTTGAGCTCAAATCTCCAAAGTTTGTAAGGATGCATTTTGAGCTCTTTATCCCTACTCTAAGGTAGCAAGCCTTGGCACTAATAGCCTTTTCTCAACCATCCCCCGAGTACTTTGAGGTAGAAGCAAAGCCTGCGGATGAGATGCTCTCTGGATGAGGTTAGCAGGCAGTATGCACAGGAGGAGAGATGTTTGCAGTAGCTCATTGCAATGCTGGAAAGAACACAGCCTGCAGTGCTTATGTGAGCTTTCTTTATTTGCCTGGGCTATGAAGATCTATAGCAATTGAAAACGGGCTGATGGCTACTGGTTGGACAGGGTCACCACGTGATGCAGGAGTGAGGCAAAAAGAGAAGGAACAGCAAGAAGCAGACAATAAATAATAATAAATATAATATTCCCTGGTATGCTGGCAGGTCTGAGGGCTACCTTTCCCCCATTTATGCATAGATAAGATGAGCTAAGTCTTCCCCAATGGAAAATGAGCCCAATTTACACTAGCTTTTTGTTTGAGGTTGCATGATAGAAATCGCAAACCAGTATGTCTCTGAGGCTGTCTGCAGGGATATAGGACAGCTGCACAGAGAAGCTAGGTAGAGTTAAATCAGGGACAGAGCTTAGTCTGGGACATAGGTGTTGGATGAGGGGTCCTCTGAAGGATGGGTGCCAACGTGGGTAGAGGTGTTTGAAGGAAGATGCAGGCTGTCTGAACTGCAGCGTAAACTCCTGAGACGTAACGAACAGTGTTTTGCAGGTCTTCAAGCCTGCACGAGGCTGGAAACTGCTGGGCCTCTTTAGAGGTGGAGAGAAGGGCCAGTGTGTGTGCTCCTGCCCCCCCAGCTCCCCCTCGTCCCCCTCCCTGACCTCTCCTTTCCCTTTCACTCTGGGAGACCCCTACAAGTGACCTGTGTCTAGAGACAAGCGGGAGTGGTAGGTAGGTGTTTCTGTTGTGCTCAGCTGATGATGCTGTTTGCATGGGCTCAGGCTGTGGGCCGTGCTTCTGCTGCTCTTTCCCCCTCTGCTGCCATCCTCAGTTCCAAATCTTGAGGAAGCTGTCCCAGGAGCCGGTGGCAACAGCCATGCCATCTGCCGTCACCCCCAGGCAGCTCACTCTGTTGTCATGACCAGAAAGGATTCCTATGGGAAGAAAGCAGAGAGGTCAGGAAAAGAAGTGGGGCCTGGGAGAGATGAAGGGGTTGGCCATGCTGAGGACACTTGTTGTAGGCTGTGTACCTACACCCCTGTGTATCACACTGTCCCTGCACAACATGTTACAATCAGTACGTGGCTAATAAGAACAAACATGCAGAAGAACATCTGTGCATGGCATACAACCACCACCCATGGGACCGGCCAAAGAACAATGTGCTTGGGAAGGTCTGGCTAGCTGAATCCTCACACCCATACTCCTTTCACCCTGGAGTGATGGTAGGACTAAGAAAGGATGGTGTCCTTGATAAGACTGACAAATACCAGTGCCATTGGTGGGCTGCGTTATAAATTTTCAGAGCCTAGGAGACACATCTGAAAGAAAAATGGCACGTTGGTGTATTCTGTGTATGAGCATCACAGAGTATCCAAAGGCGTTGGATGGAAGCCTGGGTCCATGCTCAGCTTGGTGCCTGGCTACCACGTGGCACTGTGAGTACCTGGAACTGGCAAATGGCAGAGGCTAGGAGAAAGTAGGAAATGCTACTGGTGCTTGTGAGCAGGTTTAGTGAATAGGAACCTTAATGCTCTTCCCCCCCTTGAAACAATGATGTTGTTTAAAGGTTTGACTTCCTTAACATTAAAAACAATAGTTCTACACAAAAGAGAGTTGTACTAGTTATGGTGTGCTCCTTAAGTGTGAGGAAGCTTTGTCTGGTTTCAGTTAGAATAGGATGTGTCCCTTTTAAAAAAAAATAAAGGTCTCTTTCTTGCCTTGGTAGGGACAGAAGACCTTGCAAGGAATTAAAGAGGGACCTCCAGGAGCCACTCACCCACACGCTCTGCTTTCAGAGAGTCCCAGATGTTGCAGTTGAAGTCATCATATCCAGCAAGCAAGAGGCGCCCACTGCGGGAGAAGGCGACTGATGTGATTCCACAGATGATGCTCTCATGAGAGTACACTATGAGCTCCTGGTCTGCCCGGAGGTCAAAGAGACGGCAAGTGGCATCATCTGAGCCGGTGCAGATGGCTTCGCCATTAGGGAAGAACTGAGAAGGGCACACACCAGATTTTAATCAGACTGTGCCTTGCACATTTCCTCAGCTCTTTGCCTCCCTGCTAACCACCAGGAATCCACAGAGGTAGGAAAACCAAGTGAGACAAGACACTGGATCATAAAAGTTGAGTCTGCTGAAGGGAGAGACTGATGCTTCTCCTAAGACCAAGAAACCCCTTCCACCTCAAGAAAGCCAATGACCTAGGGGCTAGACCTATTGCAAGACATCCCAGTGCTTGAGGAAGAATTATTGTCCTTTAACTCCAGCTGTTAGTTTGGCGGTTGACAAGTGTCCACCCAGGTGGAGTCTGGCATGATTCAGAGATACAGGAGCCTTCCTCTGTCTGATCCTCATACCCCAACCTTCTCATACATACTCATTTTCTGTGTCCTTGCTCTGAGGAGTGAAAAAGAGCTCCTCAGGAACAGGTAAGGCAGG